GACGTTTTAGGAAACAATGTTAGAGCTTCCAGGATAGAAAGGGATGTAGACGGTAAGTCTCTTTATAAATTTAACGTGACGTGTCTAACAAATGTATGTTAATCGTGACACATTGCGATACTTGAATCACATCACTACACGCAGCAGAGGATTGCACTCAAAATTAAACTTCTCATCTACAGTCGTATTTAATGAAATAAAATATCTATTTTTGCATTTTAGATTTATTATTTCTATGGCATAAAATTTGAGTGCAATCCTATAAACACCGAACAGTCTTTCTGCTTTGTTCTTTGCCTTTGCTCTCTAACTTATCTCTTCTCACGATACATCATTTTACGTGTCTTAATTATCCATGTACGTGTTGACGCGAGGTGCGGCCGTGTAAATAAAAATTTCTCAAACGGGTAATATACTTTCCTGTTGCTGAGTTGACTATATATATGCATATGTCATCTCGTTTCGGTGGTATCTGGCTTTAGAATCTGTCATACAATTGATTTCGAGATGTCCCTCCCCAGGACATGAAAATTCATCATGCTACGCGGGAAGCTTTTAGCCACTTTAAATTCTGGCTTAAAATAATAAAATAACAATAAAATAAAAATACGCTATTTCACTTTTATACATATATTATTTTTAAGATAGAAATATATTTATTTTTTATTATTATTATTATTATTATTATTTTTAGATGAAAATATACTTTTTTTTTATAATAGAAAACCGTCAAGTGTGCGTGATTTCAGAATTTTCAGGACTTAGGGGTTGTAAATAAAGCAATTTAACTAATGTTTAAACGTGTTCTCTCTTTTTCTCAAATGCATGCCAGTTTCTCTTATTCTTTGTTCGAAGGAAGAATGTTTTTTTTTTTGAAGAAATAAGGTAACGACGCAAATTAAGCGAGGTACCGCGGATAGTGTTGCAACAGGTGTCCTAGGCTACGAAAGAAGAAGGCTCGTCTACTAAGATCGTCTGTCTCTTTTTTTCTGTTTCTGTTACTGCTCCTGTCTGCTCCCCGCCTTCAACTCTTCTCAACAACTGGATGCCGTCTGCCTCCAACGTCCGTCCGCCACTCCGTCTCTCCGACGACCTACATAACGATGTAAAAAATAACAATATTACGATGCAAACTGTCACCGACCGACGCAAACGAACGACGCCGACCTGTACTCGATATGACGATTATGACACGGACGGGTTCGTACACGTAAAACGAATCGAATTCGTTACACACATTTGCGCTTAATTCCGACTCAATCATATTTCGATAACTTTGTGTCCCGTTTTGCTCATGTAATCGCTTCCCCCATTTCCATTCGTGACATTTCTGACGATTCCAAATCGTCGACAAATCGTCGTGATTCTGCGCCGTTATAACTTTACGTTACTCTTCATATATTTCTTACTTTCGAACTTGGTTACTCAGGAGTGACTACCGTCCTCTTAGTATCGGCACGTCCTGGCAAATCCGTACCTCCGGTTGGATTATTGACAAAAACGGCACGGACATTCGTGCAAGATGGCGCGAGTACCGAATTTGCCACTCAAGTTCTTGGCACAACCTTGGATAACGGTCGTCTCTATGCAAGAATTTTATCTACATCCAGCAGAGTGTTCTACGACAGAGAACCGGCGGTGGATCCGTCGAGTCCCTATGTCGTTTATCCCTCAAAGGGACCGGAAGATGATTGGCGACTCCGAGTGGATCTTGATAACGCGCCGATTAGAGCTATTGAAGAAATCGAAGTATTGAACGACGATAGCAACATAGAATCGAGTGAAAAAAAGACTGGAAATACCTCGAAACTGGACGAAATATCCAAAGAAAATGATGTATTTCACAAAAGAGAGATGAATATGGAGAGATTCAAACCAGCGAAGGTTCGACCGGCTGATAATCTACCCACTTATACCGTCAAGCACGAATATGTATCGAGTAACTTCGATACATTTGATGACGCGCAGCCAAAGACTTTTAGACCACGAGTGCCGAAGATTTTCAAGCCGCAGGTAAAAACTCCACCGCCAAAGAAGCTGGATACGAAACCTCTTGCTACGGTAACTTATCATGGCTTTGCGGATTTTACGACCACGGTCGGCGACACTGTCATCGTTTTCTCGCCGAGCACATCGCCGGCGCCCATGGGACGTCCCGCCACCACGATCAAAGGCGATGCCACACTTCGACCGGATGACGGTGTGGCAGTATTGAAAATCCGTCCTACATCCGTGATGGAACATATGAGAACCGATCAACCTCACGAGGGAAACCAAAAGCATGGCTCGGACGATCAACTTTTGAGTGCCATTAATCGCGGTAATATTCAGCCAAGCGTTACCGAGGAAGTTGATGCCGAATCGTCCACGAGGTCCACAGAACCGTTACTACTGGTACCTGACATCGAAACGGGAGCGTCGAAGCCAACGGGTCTTCTGAAGGTCGTTGATTCCACTACTTCATCGGACGGTACCACGACTCATTACAAGAGCCTCATTTATGGCACGTACATTGGTACGAATTACGCACAAATCATTCACACATCTTCAAATGTCTACTTCTTCCCGGATGATGCTACTGTCACGTATGGAGCTGATGACACCACTGTGGACTATGGTACAACTGAAACAGAATCCGATGAACGGGATACCACCGTCGAAGCCTTGCCTTCTACTACACCAATGAACATCATGACCAGCGAAGAAGACATGAATGAACTGACTACACCATTGAGAGGCACAACGGACAGTGTTTTAACGACATTGAAGGATATCTTAGAAAGTGCAAGAAGAGTATTAGGAACGACTGAATCGGTGCTACCAACTTTAGATGACGAAATTCCTAATGATATAGTGCCAGGAGATCCTCAAGGTCGTAGTATTAAAGGCGATTCTTCTCAAAATAATCTCCGACCTGATGGACATAAGATACAAGGACTCGATTCTGATAATGCTGAAGAGAAAGTGACATTGGCTACTAGATTACTACCGTCTACTGTGTACAAGACGTTCACGTACTTTACAACTTTCTTCATTCCGGGCGACAGTGATACTACGACTTCGATACGTTCTCGAGAAGTGGTGTCTTCCGAAGTGACTTTCTTGACAGAGTTAATTCGGCCTACTTCGACTGATAGTTTGATTCGTTCTTCTACTTCTTTGCCGCTAGACATAACGCATAAGACTCCAAACTTGTCCGACGAAGTCGAGGAGGAACAAACTACTAAACAAGATGAGGAGATAGAGCTCATTTTCAAGACTCTGTATACTACGTACACATATCTAACGACATTCTTCCAAGAAAATACATCTAGCGTATCCAGCCGGCAAGTTGTTGAGACTAACGTTATCACGCAGACCGTTGGACCAAATGGCGTTTCTGCCGTTGTCGCTAGCCTCTTCGAGAAAGATGAATCTGCTTCGATATCGCCAACGATGATATCACAAAACATTTTGCCATCGATAATAACAAATGGTCGTACTCCTGAGATATTTAACAAAGATACTGAGCCAAATTATCCTGATGAAACGACAGAAGGTGATCTAACTACTTTCCAGCAGCAGGATACCACAATATCTGAAAATATTCCGACGGAATCCATTACGACTATCGATGATTTTGAGACTTCTGATGGATGGACTACTGATTTAGAACCTAGCCCCACTCCAACAGCGAGTGCGGATGTAAAAGAACAAGTGAAGACATATTATACGACGTACACGTACTTTACCACTATCTTTGTGGATGACGAAACGGAAATCGAGACGCGAACCGAAGTTTTCACTAACGTCATTACGGAAACCATTACGCCTACCAAGGTTCAACCGACTGAACAAGAGACAGCTCAATCAACGACGCCGAAATCTGAGTCTGCCGAAAATAAGCCTGCACCTCCACCAGAAATCTTGGCTTATTTAGAAGCTCTTAAACGTCAGAAATCGCAAGAAGAGGCACTTTCATTAGCAAAGAAAGTTCAGCAAGCTAACACTGATTCCATAACACATGCCGACGAAACTACAATTTTAACCGAAAGCAACATCGAGGTTACGACGGAAATGCCTACCATTTTACAAGATCAGCCCATCACTGATCGTCTGTTTTCTAATTTCCAAGTGAGTGCACAAGTAACACCCAATCCTCCGATCGACGTAGAAGTTTTGGGTTCCATGATCACGGATGTCGTATCCTCCTCTAGTTCCGGTGGCGGCACCGTTCTGGATGTGGACAAGAGAAATATCGTTCCTGAAGATCAAGAATTATCAGAGTCTAACAACCATGAGGTAGAGCCTGCGCCGACGTTACTTCTGCAGACTAGTTACACAACTTTCACATACTTCACGACGATGTATAAAGGTGATCAGACAAATGTCGCTAGTCGCCTGGAGACAGTTACGAATGTTGTGACGGAAACTTTGAGGCCGTCCCTCGTAGTGCCGGCTCCATCCAGCACGTTGCCGGTAACGTATTTCACGACTTTTACATATTGGACGACGTTTTACAAGGGTGGCGACACCATAACAACTAGTCGTGAGGAAACGGTCAGCAACGTTGTTACAACGGGCGTCTCGCCTACATCTACGGTGGAACTTGGTGTAATAATGACTTATACGCCAACTGTGAATCCGCCATCGGAGGAGGAATCGTCAGCCACCGAAGAGGAATCCAAGATTACAGCGGATAATGAAGTGACACCTTTCGGCAGTGCTACACCTGAAAAACCTATCATTGTGGATACGAAGAGACCGATTGTAACTAGCCCTGACGATCAGAGCATCGTGAACGCTTCGTCCATTTCAGCTGAACCCACGACTTTCTATACTACGTTTACTTATTTTACTACGTCTTACGTTGGAAACGAGACAATCCTGAACAGCAGACTGGAGACGGTAACTAGCGTATCAATACCAGACATTGCAACGCAACAGGCGACCGGTCGCGCAATCGGCGGATCTGTGTATCCGTCGATTCAGACGTTAAATACCGACGAGAAAACTACTGTGACACCAACTGAAACTTTAAAAACGGGCTTGATTTCGACAATACGTTCGATCGAGATACATGATGATACCACAACTCATTATACAACGGATGTATATGGTACTTATATAGATGGATATTATGCGCGAGTGGTAAAGAGCTCGACGAGGTTAGAGACACCACCGTTGTCTTCTTCATCGATAGCCACGCCGGTTCTTCCTACGGGCGTTTTGTCTTTGAATAAGGGAACCGTGATTGATGCCGACGAAATCACCACTGTTTACTTCACTACTAAGCAAATTGGAACGCTTTTTGAGGGTACCTATGCCAAAGTGATCGAGAGTACGTCAAGCACGAAGATAGATGAAGAAAGAAAAGCAAGTATTCCACCGATTGCAGGTCACCGAACTGGCCTAGTACGTTTGATTCAAGGTCAAATCGAGAATGACGGCACCACTACGTTCTATCAGTCAAAAGTTATCGGCACCAGCATTGAGGGGAGATACGCTCAGATTATTGAGAGCACTTCTAGCTTCTTCGTGCCAAGTTCCACGGCAAATATCTCTCCAACGTCTACTCTACCTCCACACCAACCGACAAGTATTCCGGAAATATCACCTTCTCCCGCCGTTATCCAATCTTCCTTATCCGACGATCACACAACAGAATCTCCCGATCAAGATGAAGACTCCGGCCAGAATGAGGAAGATGATGAAGAAGGAGAGGAGGATGATGATGAGCAAAGTTCTAAGAAAAAATCACGATTGACATTTTCGACGAGAAAGAGAACCTTTACACCCGTTATCAGACCGTTCGCTTCTAGAAACAGACCGACCTTCAATCCAAAACGTAAAGGGGCACAAGGTGCCACGACTATTACCAGAACGGATATAACTCCGACAATAACTGCCACTTTGGCCGGTAAGGGCAACAGATTCGCATCGTCGCGGGGTCGCGTTACTTCACCGATCGGGCCATATTCCTCAACGTTATCTCCGTCAGGTTCCAGAAGATTTTCAGGCAGGCGCGGAACTGCCACCTCGAGTTCAACCTTCCCAGCGGGTAGTACTCGGGGTAGAGTGCAGTCCAGAATAACCCCGTCGTCTGTGTTTCAAGGCAACAGACGCGGCTCCACGTCAGTAAGAGGATCCTCAGCCAGAGTTGCAACTCGCGCTTCGAGTTCCGCTTTTCCCGGCGCCTCATCAAGATATCGTGCGGGTATTCGACCGTCATCGACGTTATTAAGAGGACAGCCTACCATCAGGCATGACGATCAAGAAAACGACGCCAATGAATTTACCACGACTACGCTCATAACGGACGAAACACCGTTTACGGAATTCTTTGATGGTGAGACCGTTACTACTCCTTTGCAGACCACGACGGAATCATCTAGGAGATCTACAAATCCACTTCTGCGATTCCGCAGACCGATTAGTTTAAACAGTAATGGCAGATCAGTAACTACTCCAAGGCCATCAACGACTACAACTACGACTCGGCGGTCGGGAAATTTAAATAGACCGAGCGCTCCGACAGTTCCTAGAGTGACTAATGGACGATCGAATACTAGAGCAACTCCTCCGGTATCTACGAGAACACGACCGAGCAATACAGGTCTATTCCCGCCACGTGGACTGCTCGGAAGAAAGCAAGAATTAGCTACCGAAGAACCGACTGAGCCAAATGAAGGACAAAACGAAGGCAACGAAGCTCTCGAAGATGAGCCTGTTGAAGAAATATCAGATAACGATTACGAAGGTTCGGAACATGAAGACAGAAGAACTAACGTGAATCGTCGTTCTGGAAAAGCTGGATCTGTCATACAAATTAGACCTTTTGGAGCCAGAACAAGAAGAGTTCGTCGTCAAGCTAGTCAACTGAGAGCATATAGCAGCCGTTTCCGTAGACCTGCTCAAGCATCTTCTACAAAAGCGGAAGAGAGATCTGATTTCTTAGAAGCCACAACGAATAAAGAAGATAGTACAAAAGCAGCGCCGAAACCTCTTGCTCGTTATAACAATCGTGCACGAAGTTTAACGCCATCGCAATCGCAAAAGACATCTAATGATCCAGATCAAACGGCGGAAACAACAGAGTTGTCGTTGTCGTCGAATCAGCAGAGAACCAGATCGAAACAATCTAATGGAAATAGAAACGGATCTGTTAGAATAAAACCGTCGCCGGCTTCAAATAATGGAAGACAATTTACATTAAGGGAAAAAGACTCTTCTTCAAATAGACTAGGATATAAGAGGCCAACTTCCAGTCCAAGAACAAACAGTAGATCTACTAGTAAACCTGACAATGGAAGAGTAAGACCACCAAGATTACGAAGCGGATCTTCTAAATCGACCGAATCTTCGAATTCTCGACGAGTATCATCATCTCGCTCAAGATCGACAAGCGGAAGAAACGGAAATAGCAGGAGAGGATCTACGAGAGGTAGAGGATCTTATGAAGACATACGAGAAGCGCCTACAATATATCCAAACTTCGATGGCACAATAACAGTGACACATTACGTACCAACGGAAGTAACGATTCCTGTGGTGAACAATGGCGTCACGGAACAGCGAAATATTATAACGGCGCAACCCAGCACTGAAGTTCTCGGACCTTCTCAGTATAGCACAGTGACAGCTGGAGACGGCAAGCCGCTCGTGGTTATCGTTAGCGAAGTGACGGGTACCAACGTTCAAGGCCAGGCCGAGATTACACGATTTTTACTACACGAGACACCTACCACTCGTATCTCGCATACCCTCACGAGTCTCGGCGGTCGCCGCGTTTCTCAATCGGTTATCATACCTACCAAAGTATACTCCGTGGAAAACATAGTTTCCACGGTACAGCCTTCCCTGTCTGGCAACGCTCCTCTCGCCAATATTCTTCTCTCGCAATTACTTCTGGGTCAGTTAGGTCAGCCGAATCCTTTGTTACCCCAAGCTACACCCACCACGCAATATAACACACGCACTACCTCCTACGTCACCACAATAACGAAACATCAGAGCACTGTTATTCCACTCACCTTCCGCGGAAAGGAGATCCTAACGACTCTGGTTGACTCCTCGACCGACGTCGTCACCGCGACGGAATATATAACGGACACCGTTGTGGTGACTCCAACGGTCGCGATACCTGCGGCCAACATAAATTCCCTTCTGTTGTTACTTCAACAACCACAGACGCAGCCACAGAACACCAATCCGTTGCTGGATCCTTTGTTCGCGGCTCCTCCATTTACACAGAGTAACACCCTACCGGGTGAGGTCGAGAGAAGACATCAACCGGCTGATTCCGACTACAGACACGATAGCTACGAATATTCCGACGAGGACGACGTAGAAGAGTATCACAAGCCGTCCAGATCGCGCGGCGGGCGAGGTAAATCAAATGACAAGAAGAAGGAATCCAAGGCTTCCGCAGCTACGAAGGCCGAATCCAGCGTGGTGACGCTTTATGTTTCCGGCCGCAGACCCGGAGAATTCAGTACTGTTCTAAGTACTGTGAAAATCGGCGATTCCGCCACCGCATCTAGAAGACGAAGAGACATTTCGGAAGGAATTGTCGAAGTCCGACCTTCCGTACCGCCGTCGTTGCACGCCGGACCGACAGCCATTGCCATTCTGGCGGGAAGCGAAGATTCTATCGACGCGCACGCACCAACACAAAGTCTTGAGAGCGTAGTGGGTGACGTCGGACGGCACATTTCCACGTCCATCTATACCTAATTTTCTCTTTCCGTCACAGAAAAAAATCCTTTCTCGCTCCTCATTCTCTCCTCCTTTTCTTTCCTTACATCATATAAGTCCATAATTTTATTAAAATTACTTAGAATCGCCCTGGAGGCTAACCGCCTTTCCTAACGTCTTTTCCACTTGGAGAGCGTTGGTCCAGCTTCTTCGGCCACGTCATAGTGGAAACAAAAACGAACAACGTCGATAAAAAAAATTGAAGTTGCTTCGTATGTAGCGTAGACAATTTTGAAACTACCGGAATCCCTTTCCTTGACAAGTAAAGAAAGGGTTATGGGTAGTTGACAGCCTCGCTGTAACGAGAGTCATCTGCGAGGGTGGCCATCTCGTGTCTATTCGGTTCTGTTCGCTCTCTCCCAATCCTTCTCTTGAATCTCTTTTCTGTTTCCTTCTTAAAAGCATCCCCCTTCGAGCGTCGTCCCAAATTTCCTTTTACTAACACAGCCTCGATCTGCCGCCGCACGCGCGCCCACACGGACAAAACCGGATATGGTACTCTTCTGTCTCGCCGACAACACAACAACAAAACAGACAGGGCGTGCACCTGCCCGGTAATGCTACTAAAATGCAAAGTATGACGAAATTCAATCGGACGAGCACACAAAAAACTGAACACGAGACGGCAACATTATTTAACTCCAATCAATTAACGCATTACGAAAGCAACTCCCAGGAACGGCTTTATCGCTGCACTCTGCTTGATCGTATAGATTTTCATGTAGCTCTCGGAGTGAATTTAAGTACAAGGCGAAGTACGATTCAAAACAGACGAGTGGAAACGTCGCCTTTGCAGGTAATCTCTACGATGAATCGGTGCAATACGGAAACAGGAATATTGAACGCAACAGAGAAGGCATCGTTGATGCATGGTCCTCGAACGAAGATGACGTAGATAACGGAAGGATCTACGATGACGATGACGATGAAGCCCTTGGAGAGACACCACGGAAACGTGTGAGAATTCGAGTGCCCGTGGTGCGTAGCAGAACGGCTAAACAACATAAACTTACGGTCGTCAGACGCAGACCCTTGGCACATCGTACCAAAGACTTTGCATACGCCACGTTTACTACGCCACGAAGAATTGTGGTGACGCGCGTCAGGACTCTCGGATCAGCTAACTCAATTTATCCGACAGATATTCCGGACTACGAGGGTTACCAGCCGACCGGTTTTGGAAAACACAAAGTGACCATAACCAGACGCAGAAAGCTACAACCTATATCACCGATGTTGACCCAGAATAAAGTCAGAGTAACTAGAAAGAAGTTAATTGCAGTGCGTCCGATACAACCGACGTCGGCTTATGCCATTATCACTACTGGATTCTTCACTGCGCCTTCCTCCGAGTATGATGATTACTCAGATGAAGAAGACGAAAACACGACTGTCAAAGAGAAAGATTATTCTACCGTTACTCCTAGTCTTGAAGAAGCACCAAATCTTATTGATAACAAACCAGATGAGGAGGTGAGTCTTATGTCGTCGATCGCCAGCTCCGCTGAAGAAGAAGTCACACCAGACACGCCAGTGATTATTACTGATAATTTCTTTTTCCCTCCGTCTGACGAAGAAGATGAAGAATATGAAGATGAAGATGAAGATGAAGATGATGAAGATTATCACGATACGACTACTACGACTGAAAATGCAGATGAAATCACGATTTTAATGAAAGATGAGCAACATCTGACAATATCTCCAAAGGACGAAGATAATATTGTGTTGAATAAGAGTGATCTTGCGATGCAAACAGAAAATGATAATCTTACTGAAACGACAACACCAATTACTACATCAGAAAAGTCGTTCGAAGAGCAAACAGTAAAAACAATTCAAGAATCCGATGCAGCTGTAAATATAACAGAATCGGTTGCTTTGGAAGATGGTAATAATACGGAGATATCTACGGAAACCGTTATATCAAGTGGAAATGTATCAACTACTGAACTCAGTCATATTGAAGAAGATAGTGATGGTAAATTTACAATAAAAGAGCACACAACTATTGCCAGTTCTGAAGAACAAACTACTTTCATGGAGGAGGACATCACTACGTTAAATCCCGAAAAATCAATCGAATCTATGAATGTTTCTGATAAGGAAAATACGACGAAAAAAGATATTTCATTCGTTACTGAGACGACAACGCTCGATACGGAAAGTAAAGAACAAGATTCAACCGAAACTCCTGAAGATTCTACGAAACACGATGTGATACCGGAAACGACGAGCGAGAATCCAAAAGAAATATTAACGGTGAAATCCATCCAAGCGGACGTCATAATTGACTCTAATTCGACCCAGATTTCTCTAATCGGAACGGTCCTTCCATCCGATCCTACTATCGCGATCGCGCCAAGTTTCGAAAGTGTTATACCGCTCGAGACTAAGATACGCGATACTGATATGTCGAATTATTTCGACGATTCGTACATACCCAGCGTGATACCTCTCAATGCGAATTATACCCGCGAGACGAAATCCACATCGGTCATCGTAAGCTCCGTAATCGAGACAACTCCCGCGACAAAAGTTACGAGCGAGATCGCCTCGCCTACGCCGGAGGAGATCGAAGCCGGGCTGGCAGATGATCTTTATCTGTCGTTGTCTCGCCTCGATTTCCCCGAGATCTTGCCGTCGAAACCAACCGAGATAGAGACTAAATCTACGTCAAATCTTGCGCTGGAGCCCAGCATAAGCGTTTACTACACGGAGACGGTAGTGACGTCGACGCGACTAAGGACGTACACATACGTGGTGACGCAACTTAACGGACAGGAGACTAAAGTGACGTCGTCGACGACCGTACGACCGAGAGTGACGACACTTACGTTGACGGTGCCCGTCACGGTGACTGTCACTCCTACCGTGGAGTCGTCAACCGGCTTCGTATCGTCTGTGTATAATCCAGTACCCCCAGTTGCCGGTGAGTAGTACCTTTTACCCATCTGAGACTTCTCTCTCTGTCTCTCTTTCTCACGACGATCACACAGTGCACAAGAAAAATAAATCCCGGATTACCGGAAAATATATATATATATATATATATATATATATATATATATATATATATATATATATATACATATATATATAATGTTTCATTGAAATAATTTTGATCGAAATCTATAAATTTGGTAAAAATAGAATTAAATGGGCTGTTTTATCAATGTTGAGTGCTCATGGTAATCGTCGTATGTAATATAATCCTTAGACTAATAATCTATTGTGTACCTGTAGACTTCCTGTTTACGCGAATTCGGTTAGACCTGTACGAGACGGACTGCTGGACTATGTAAATGCTCCTGTTAAATACTATGTTAATTGGCTTCTGGTATTCTAAATTTTTTTCCTGTATATTACAGCCCTGTATGAAATGTACATACTGTATATGACAAAACGATACTGTACATATCTAAATTTGCGTTTCTTTATACGATATATACATATATATACATACATGAATATTAATCCTATCCTTTGTTAATTATATAATTTTACCGACTGTATTTTTTTCTGTAAAAACTTGTCGTACATTCGATTGTAATTCGAATGTACGATTCTTTTTATTTCTAAACATATTGATATAAATAATTATATTTTGGCGACAATAGGTAAGCTAACAATAGCATCTTTTCCGCTAGGAAAGAAATTTCATTTTAATACCTTTAAAATGAAAAACAATAATAAAAGTTATTATTGCGAGACGATTTCCCTTTTGTATATACGCAACACTGTGAAGCGTCGCTTATGATATCGTAATGATAGGAGAGTACGAGGTGAAGGATGAGGAAGAAGGACGCAGGTTCAATTTAGCGACCCGCGTGATGTCGAACGGCGTGGAAGTCATCGTCGCCGGGCCGACTCCGGCTCTACGATGGGAGAATTCGAATGTTCAACCTACTCTCACCTTGTCAGAAGCGGTGGTCATGCTTCTCCCGCAGGATAAGCCGAACGAGTTTGTCACGAAGACTTGCACAACAACTTTCACGTACCTCAACACAATTACCAAGGATGGAAAGACTACCGTTTCCACGGAGCAGCAGGTGCTTATGCAAACGTATACACGTTTGCTGTACATTTCTCCAAATAAAATCTTAACAGTTCCATTTATTAATAGCGATAATTTTAAGCCGCATAAGATATATCATCTAATTCGATCATTTAAAAAGTAAAAGTGTAAGCAAGAAAATATTATATAAAAAATATTACAAAAGACATGTTTTAAGATATTAAACTTATTACTCTATTATTCTTTTTTAATCAATAATATAATGTAATTAATAATTTTAATATAATTTCTATAATAAGTAAGTCTGAGTAATCTGTATATATCGCAGAAAGGATTATTACCAAAATATTTGATTAATATAATATTGAGTATTTCTTAGAGTCAATTAATTTCTTTTTTTATATATTTTTCTTATATTTTCAGATATTTTAAATAATTAATGATTTATTAACATATCATGCAAAAAATTAATATAATGATTTTATTATTTTTTCAGGTGTTAGCAAATACTGCGACAGAGGAACGGCATAGAAAACATGGTTCTGAAACCGCAGGCGTGACTCTGGATGCGTCCCCGACTCTACGTACCGAAGTATTTAAAACGACTTATACGTATCTGACTTTGAACACAGATCATCCGGATGTGAATGATGCCTTAGAAAGTAGCACGAAAGTCATAACAAACACGGTTACCGCGCCGCAGCATTATCTAGACATGATTCTCGAGCCATCAGAAGCTTCGCGACCGGAAACTAATACATATCTCAGTACCAGAGTGTTAGAAAAGACATTTATAGAAGAGGGTCGAACGAAAATAGAGACGGTTAGCGACACGATTACTCAGGTTAGCTTATCTATTTTGCAAAATTTGTACACCGATATTCACCGTATCATTTATTAATGTTATTCTTTTTTTTTTTTATTTTTATTTTTAGCTGATCATAACAGAATCAGCACCTCTACCACGACCGACGAGTGTCACAACTACTTTAACTGCCTTGGACAATACCGATGATAGTGTGACGGATATGACTAAGACGTATTACATCACGTATACGTACTTCAATACATTTTTGGAGAAAGGTAGCACGGTAGTTCGTACGAATGTAGCCACGTCGACAGACGTAGTATTGGAGAAAGTGCCAGTACGAAAAACAAGCATGAAAACCGCTCCAATTAATCCAACGCCGGAGCCTATACAGATCTTCGCTACTAAAACATACCTTACTACATTCACTTACTTCACGACGTTGCTGCAGGTATTTACGGTACTTTAAATACAATGTATTTACGCACTACATACATTTAAAATCTCTGTCTCTCTCTTGTCAGGCTGGCCCAGATGGTGAGACATCAACAACCGTGACGTCTCGTTCACATATCGTAGAAAATGTTGTGACGGAGTCAATAGCCCCGAGTTTATTAGACGCTGGATATATGAATGCCCTCTTGACAACCGCGCATCATTCTGATCCAGTAAAAAACGTCGTCACAGGTTCGACGATTATCTTCTTTGACGACGAAGATCAAATTGATCCAACCGCGACCTCAAATCTCCCAGAATCAAGCTCTATTACAGAAATAAAAAAACAGGAGAAAACTACTACAAGCACGACAATTGCAACGCCTCCAGAAACGTTGTCGGAGGATACCAATTTTGAAATAAAGCCTGCGGATTCCATCGATAAACAGGTACATTTAACTTATAATATTTTCTGATAAATTAAGAAAATAGTTTTTTTAATTTCTTACAACAGGAAATTAATATGTATATATATATATATTGTATTGTTTTTATTGTTTATTGTTTTTATATATATATATATATATAAAATTTAACAATTATACAAATATTTTGTATATCAATGCTTTATATGTGAAATTTGTAATTTTTATATAGGATAATAATGGTACTACGCTATCGAGCGATGAAGCACAAAATAAACGACCTAATATTCAATCTGGAGACGATTCTTCAGTTAACAAACCTCTCCTTAGTCTGGGTTCTTTAGGAATAAATAGCTTGTCCGCTTTGGGACCGGTGATTACAGCAATGGCAGGATTACTGCAAGGAAAAACCGCGGCTACTCGTAAAAATGATACTGTACCTCTCACTGAAACACAAGAAGTCACAACGCAACGATCGCCGATATACATACCCGTCGCAGAATTTGCTGATGGTGATATAGAAACCGCTGAAAGCCAAAACATCGGTAACAATCTTCTTTTTTTAACAGTTATTATTAATATTCTGTTTAGCGTATTGCAAATACGATTGTTTTTCTAGCTGCTCATTTAGTAAATCTCAACCATAATTATATTGCCGAGACACGCCATAAAGTTACTAGTAGTCTCGCCGACGGTATACCGATATCTCCGGGTGAAGTAATCACCGCAAACAGCGATGTTATCATAGGAAAACCTGGTAAAATGGCTCCGCGACCGCCGCAGACATTTTTAAAGGATGAAAAGCATATTGGCATGAAACCACCGCCGTTACCGGTACCAAATATCCCGGTACATCCTGTATTAGAGATTTTGGAGAACGACGATAAAGTACAAACTCAACAAACTATGCAAAACGCACAGGTGCAAATTCTGCCAGCTCATCAGGTTTATGAAGAACATTTGAAAGTTCCGGTTTCTATTCCTCTCGATACTAATCATCCATCTGCTAAACAACCTCAAAAATTGCTTCCCATTCAACCACCACCTAAGAAAATTGCATCAAAACAGGATATCTTAGAGAATGATCCTTTATTAAAACCACCTGACAGACCACACGTAGAGCAATATGCAAATCCTAATATTAATCATAAAGTTCCGGAGTGGAATTCGGAAAAATACAGAAGACCTTGGAGCGCCAAAGATCCCTTAACACCGCCTTTATCGCCTGCAAGATATGACGAAGTACGTCTCATCTTTTGTATTATTTATATATATTCGTTTGTGTCGTTTTTTATACGTACATAATATTTTTTTCAAGGTTCATTCAGATAAACCGATTGAGAAACCATATCCAACCTCGGTCGTATTACCTTCGGAAGAACAGAAGCGACCACCATGGGCACAGAAAGATCCTCTATTACCAGAGAGTTCTGTCATAATACAGAGCTCAGAGCCAAAACCTACTGAGCCGATAATCCATCAAGTCCCACATGTCATTGATAGATCAACAGGGCAACCTCTATTAGTCAATATTCAACCCAGTCAAGTAGCTAATGTCGTAATTCCACAAGGTGGCACGCAAGCTCTGATTTTTGGAGATACTAATGAACCTCATATAAGCGGCCAATATTTTGACGATCCATCGCCTTATCCAGAACCTGAAGTTGGACCAGGTTTCATCGGTCAAAAAGTATGTATGATGTTAATATTAATATTAGCGTTATTGCTATGAAATAATATTTTTGTATCACTTTTTTATATATGCTTAGGCCGAAGATCTACCTCAATATTCAAACGAGAAGAATCCAATTCATTATATGGTTCCACCATTACCACCTAGTAATTTCAAATCTCCAAAACCAGGTTTCTCTAGTCGTCCACATGCTGTATTGTTGTCACCTATACGCGGAAGACCGCAAGAAGTGTCGGAGACGCCTATACTAAGGCTCGACAAGAGACCGTCGGACGTTCATTTAATTAAACGTCCCGACGGATCTGGAGGTTCCAGTCACGTTCATACAGAAATTCTTGTACACCACAAGCCAGAGACAATAAACGTTCGACCCCAGTCCGTTCCTCATCCGTCCGTCCATTCTCATGCACACTCCGTCCATCAACCACCAATACGCGGCCATTTTTCGAACGGCCAAACTCCGGAACAAGCCCCTCCGAGACGTGTAGAAGTCACGCCAACCGAGGTTCCACATCGATATATATTTCTAGGTAAACCAGATTCTGGAAACGAGATAACATTAAATAACAATTGGAAATCGGACAAGAAACCAATCAGATTTGCGTTAAATAATCGACCGAGACCGCGACCTATATCAAGACCAACAACCAATCGTCCTTTAGATCGGCACGTTTTTGTGGAACGACCCACTGGATATCCATCGATCAGAAAACCGACGTATTCTAGTCCCCAAAGACCTCCGATGAAAACGCATAATACTTTTGTGTTATCGCATCGTCCACCAATGAGTCCTCAGTCTCACCAGGAATCTACTCGAATACCGCCTAATTTATTCACTCTTCAAATTGACAATCAGAACAGACCATTGCATACTTATCCAAATAAGACCAACGTGGCTAACGTCGTGATGTCGAATTTGTCAAATGAACAGAATGATCAAGTACCCACTGGAGCGATAGAATATCATAATCCTTTATATCCAAACCCAACGTTCGAAGAGAACAAGCATCCTCAAGTGTCCACGACAAAGACGCAGCATATATCGCCAGAAGATCATTTTGAAAAATGGCAAACTAATACACATACAGAACAGACGCTGTTAGATTCCCACATCGGTGCCTCGGAATATATCAATTATCAAAATCATTATCATGGAAAAAGAAATAGAAGTCAGGAAACTAACAATCAGAATAAGAAGGATATGATAGCTTCTCAAAGCCTCAATCAAACTCTGAAATCACAAACTCTATATGGACCAGTTGTTTCCATTAATACGGTTGTAGGTAAGCCACTGGAAGTCGGGCAAGAACATGACGTCGTGACTTACGAACGTGAGACAAATGGGAAGCCATTATTGCAAGGACCTTACAATAATGATCCCTACAACACGAGACCTTACGAACTGCCCATTGTGCAAGGCAAGCCTTTTGGTGTTTATAATGGCTATGTGGATCCGACCACTCCTTATGGCTACAAACGAAAAGAGGGCAAGCCCGATTACGAAATAGTTCACGGCATACCCGCTCCTTATAATGAGGATGTAAAATCAACTACGATTAAGAAAACGCAAGGCGGACAAGTCACGACACTGAACTCACTCGAACGCGACGATACTATTGATCTAAAGCCACCGGCGATTATACCTCAGTTCGGCGTTGAAATAGACAGACCAGGAAGGCCATTTTCTAGACCTGATAGTAGACCTGATTCAAGACCTGGTTTAAGCCGGATCAAACCAGAAATATTAACAAAACCGCCGATTAAATTAGAAGTTAGACCTGATTACACTGTAAAACGTCCGGAAAACGTTAAACCAAGTACAGAAATTTTTATTAATCAGACACTGAATCATGGAATAAAGACGAATAATCTTCAGAATTGGAACGTGGATGTAGCGGTTCCGGACATTATAAAATCCCAGCAGAAAATATCAACCGGACACGATTTCCGAATTTCCGAGACAAAGATATCTGAGAATAAAAACAGCACTACGTCTCGTCCGATCGGCAATAAACGTCCAGGTATCACTCGACCTGAGCATGGAACGTTCACGAGAGTGCATCCGGAATATCCCCACATTCTGACGAAACCAAAACCTCACGTACCGGAACCGGTAGTCGTCTCGAGCGGTAACGCGGGACCGGAAACATATGGTCATCCGAATGTTAAGTTCTCCATGTCGGTCGAAGCTACGGGTGAAGAAGTGGATAGTAAGACGCAAACGGAGCGCCCGCCCAGCATGTTAGTGACAAAAAATAATCTATCGCATAATAAAAAGAATGATGAGACCTTGGACACGGCGTTCCAAACAAACTTTGCCTCTTCGGACTCTCACAGTGAACAGGAAAAGATGAAGGAAACAAACGTTCCCTCTAGAGACATGATGCCACCGCCCCTGAACATGGGAGTCGGATCGAATCAATCGAAGAAAAAAGAGCAAGACGGGCTTAAACCACCGCCACCGCCGTCGAGCGATGTGCTCGGATTGTCGCCACCGCCGGTAGACATCACTACTACTCATATGCCGGTAGAAGATAGATTCGCCATAGTGACGACCGACGAATCAGGCCTGAAGCCACCAAAATATGTACCTTTGAAAGAATCAACTGTACCATCAGCCGTACCGTCTCTACCTAGCACGAATATGGTTCCCCCAAGTCCAAGGCCATCGCTCACGAGACCTTTCCTTGTAGAATTATTGTCGCAGGTAAAATTATACATATTTGCGAGAATAAGATGTTTACCGTCAAAACGAAATTGTATGCAAAATCTAACATTATTCGTTATATTTCAGGATATGGTGCCACCACCGATATTGACAACGACGAGACCCCTCGAGATTGCTACTGTAAGGCCAGCTGTCGCGGTCTCCGGTTCCATACAGATTGCCACCGCTGTCGCGACATCTCATATCCCAGTAATTCAAGATATCGAATCGAAAATCCCAATTATTCATGGCACCGTTGATCTACCGGTCGTAATCGACGTCCCTGAGATCCTCAGACCTGTGGAAACGCGGATGAGCGAACATGTTAGCATCTACACTGTGCGACCTTTTGATACAAGACCCGTGTCTAGGTACGTAAATTACTTTCTAAATCTCTGTTTTTTTCCCGGACGAGCTTGTAATTTTTTTTATTGTTTTTAGAAACTCCATTCAAACGACATCGACATTGTCTACAAATGTGGTAATACCGACGAAATTGCGACCACCTCAAGTGGATCACATTCAGCCAAGTAGATCATCGACAATTCGCAATGTCGAGCCAACGAGATTGTATGGTTTAGACGTCCCTCCAAATCCTGTTAAGCGACCTGAACATCCGATATTCTTAGAATCCAGCCACGAGAGTATGTTACCGTCAATAAGAGTGGAGCCCACCGAATCTTTAACATTCATCACAAGCACAGAAAAGAAACAGCATTCGACGATTTCGAACATCAAGACGCATAAACCGCAAGTGATCGAATACAGCATCGTAAATAAAACGGCGAACAAAGAGTCATCCGTTATCGTCACTAGAGTCGACAGTTCAATTACTAAAGTAACCAGCACATTGATACCAACGCCAAGCAATAAAACGCGTTCCACGACAAGCAATTTAGCTACACAGTTTACGAAGAACGTTGCAAAGGCGAGCAATACCATCGCCAAGGATCAATCCAGCGCAACTGTACGTACAAAGTCAAAAGAGGTACGAACGTCTCAATATGCATTTAGTAATCGTTATTAGTTAGTATTTTTCGAAGAATCACAGATTATATGCGAATTAGGTGACGCGGTACAGGACGTCGACGGTAACGAGAACTAAAACATCGGTACTGGGTTCTCCACCGACAACGAGAACGCTTCTACTCACGCACACGATGACCACGACGACTGTTGAAACTGTGACGGAAACACTGGTCCGTCCGACAAGCGTAGTGTCTACGGTAACTTCGACGATCTTACAACCAATCATTACAAGAATGCCTTCAACATACGATAATGTAGCGGATAATGATTCTATATTTGTCGTGATGAGCGACCAGAAACCACCCGCGCCCGGGGCAGAAGAGGTACTAATTTACGAAATATTATTTATAAACATGCTTCAGTTATTGTTAAATTACGAGTTTCTCAATACTGAATCGATTTCTTTCATTATTATTTTATTGTTTTATATTATTATTATATATAAAATAAAATTATGTATTATATATGATTTTATTTTATCAAATATATATAAATATAAAGAACGTAATTTACGTAGACTGACATTACATTTTGTTTAAATTTCAGGTAGAGGCTGAATATGGAGAAGAAGTATCTCGTGATGAGCAGGATCCAATGGGTAACGAAATCCATAGAGTACTGGCGGGTGGAGTACTTGGCGCGCCAATAGTACCTCTCATGCCAGCTGCTAATAAATGCACGCCGGAATGTAAATCGTCCAAGTCTGAGGTTTGCGCCGAAGCAGGAACCGAGATGAGATGTGTCTGTCGGCCAGGATTTGCGAGAATGTTCCCAGATCGCCCTTGCAAGCGTAAGTTTACAGATACATCTGTACGATTCGTGACGACGTACTTTTTGTTTTTCGCTAGATATATCGTTATACAATTTAACATGTTTGAATTAACGTGTACTTTCAGCAACTTACACGTATACACTGCGCGTTGGTCTGGATCGTATCGGCCACGAATTCGTGGCGTATGACGCTGCCTTGAACGATTCTACATCGTTAACTTACAAACGTTTAGTAATCCCGACGAAGGATGCCTTGGACAGAACTTTAATGCAGAGCGACTTGAGAGATGTGTACAGAGGCCTCAAGATCGTCGGATTTACTCCCGATCCTACGAAGGTTGAGTTCCATGTGCAGCTGAGCGACAACGCTAATGAGACCAGATTAAAAGAAGTCCTTCGAAAATATTTGGTTGGAAGTAATTACAGCTTAGGTGGCACAGAAGTCTACGCTTCAAAGAACCTTGATTTAGTAAGTTGAATCGCGAAAAATAAATAAAAATAAAAAAAAATTTAAGTTTTGTTATTAATTATGAATTTTCGATATTTCATTCTTCAATTTAATCTAGATCGAGGCGGTCGACTTTGACGAATGCGCTTCCAAGGAAAATGGCCCGCATCACGATTGCTCGCCTCACGCGGCATGCTTCAATTTACGAGGATCTTATCAATGTTCTTGTAAAGAAGGCTGGGCTGATTTATCAGAAAATCCGGCCTACCCTGGAAGGATATGCTCGCAAGCGCCACTGGGATGTGCTGGTTGTAATAACAAAGGTCATTGCGTCACCAATTCTCTCGGTCAAGAGGTGTGCGAGTGCTTCCCTTGGCACAGCGGCCAACGATGTCAAGTTAATCTCAAAGGTGGAGAAAGCATATTTTGTGAAATCAAACAATATTTGATGATTTATTAAATTACGATAAATCAAACGAATTATAATGTTACGAAGAAAAAGTGAACTTTTTAAATTATATTTTCATGTGTTTGCAGTTTTGTTGATAGCTCTAGTGACATCTGGTGCAATCTTGTTGGGTCTGCTAGCAATCTGTGTAGGAATGACATGCTTCCGACATCCAAGACATGATCGGAAAACCGGAGATAGACGAGCCATGATCCCCGGAACAGGTGGTGATACTAGTAGCGAAGGTAGTGTCACTGATTTGGCGATACCTCATCATGTACCGCACGTTTTACCACCGCCTCCCCAAATGATAGCGCCGCTGCCGCCAAACAAACGACTCGTTCGTAAGATCAGTGCGAAACCTCGTCATCCATCCAGAAAAGCTACTATGGTGCCTGCAGCCAGTATGTTTTGTTATTATTTCTTTTAATATTTCAATCTCTTTAATATTAATGTTTTGTATAATATTTATATAATATTAATTACTAAAAACAATATATCATTTCTTTTCGTTCAATAAACTTGACGTTCCTTTAGCGATACCAGTCAACGACGATCAGCGTGATCGCTCCTTGACGGTAATGATTCCACGTGCGAAATACCGATCAGCGCCACAGTCACCGCAAAATTATAATAAGACCGTTATGAGTACATTTGCCACCGAGGAACACAAACTCATAAATTATCTCGACAACGGCACGAGCTCTCCCGCTAATAGGAAACAAAGTATACCTAGCATAAAGGACTGCAAAGAAGCTGATTTACAAGGCGCAAGGAATCCGATGACGCCCACGGGAGCTCTCGTGAGCGCCGGTTTTCAGGTATCATTTACATTTCACCAATCATTTTAAAAACAAACTTGAAATTTCTAGAAAGTTGACAAATGATATACGTATAATGGAACCATTAATTAATGACAGGTATCGGCCACGGTAACCCGTACTGTGGATGCTGAGTCCACCTTGGCACGTTCCTGCGGCGAGACCACTGTGGAACCAGCGACGAAGGTACTGAGAAGCGGAGATCTTCAGGTTGATCTCGACTCGACCTTAGCTCGCTCGTGCGGCGAGACAACCATCCAAGCACCAACGAAGCTTCTTAGACTGGATCTAGGCGAGGCTGGTTCCACACTAGCGAGATCGTGTGGCGAAACCACGATTCAGCCGCCGACGAAAGTCGCCGCCGCTCGAAGGAATAGCGTCAAGGACACTAGAGATAACAGGGACACTAGAGACAGCGCTAGCGAGGGTCACACTATGGCTGAGCGTGATTTAGGCAGCACATTGAGACTTCCGGCACAACATCCGCCACTATACAGTCCGGACAGGGTAAGATGATTTTATATTAAAAAACAAGCTTACGAATATCAAATATTACGAAACGTAAATGTCTGATATCTTATTGAAATTGTCATTGCATTGTTATTAATTGCTATTTTTCACAGACTAGCGATCGGGAGTCCAATTTTGATTCGCTGTAAACGCTCAAACGAGAACGAGTCACGATGGTGTGGGATTGATTGCGGACGAAGCCGCTGGACGGTATTCTCCGTAGATTTATGAATTGTTATCTATTAAAATCTGCTCCGTTCTCAAAACACGCGAAACAACATATTTAATTTTATGAATTCGTTTTATTTATTTATCACGGTAGTCGTGTCTTTTCTCTTCTATTTCCACTGCAGAACATTTACCTGTCGTGTGCTTATTTACAACTTTAACTTTGATGCCAAGATTGAATGATTAAATTTAATGTATTAGTGGAACTTTTCAAAAGTCAATTTGATCGGCGAATATTTCTCAAGTTAAAATTCGGCGCGTAATTTCGTTTCACGACGGAAGATAAGCGCGCGTGACTCAACCCCGTGCCAAAATACAACCAATGAAATAAGGAAGACTCTTGGAAGAAGCTCTTTCTCATCTTACTGTTTTTACTGAGATCGAGCGATTCGTCGTTGCAGATGATCGAAATATTAATGTATTTTATATTAGAAAATTTAGTTACAATGATTTGAGAATTATTAATAATTTCAAATTGATCCATCAACATAGCTATCATGTTTACTACTAAAAGTACTTTTTACATATAAACTTCTATAGAAAATTAAAAAATTATTAGAGGTTTTCATATATAGATTCTTAGATTTGGAAATAATATTTCGATCATTGCAGCTTACCGTGCACGTGCAAGCATGGTGCAATAGTGTCATAAATAGTGGATGGCGCCAAATCGTCATGCTGACAGCATGACGAAAAAGCTCGAAGCTTACATTGACCACGAAAGGAGAACATTTTTTTTTTATTTTTGTTGTTATTGTTTGTTTGTTTAGTCTATTCTCTGACAAGTTGTGTCATGTTGCCCGGCTTCGTTGCAAGACCTTATTTCGGAGTGATCAAATTTACGCTCGAGATCGATAATAAGTGTCGTCATATTGTTTGCTCGAATGTAAATTGTCTGTGTTATATTACATTTTCACGCATTATATTCTTTTTATATTCTTTATGATTAGACAAAAAAACGCGCTACTCTCGTCAATCATTTTTTTATGCATTTAATTCAAATGATAATCTTGAAAAACAAATAACTTCAACATATAACTGAGTAATTAATATATTAAAAAACTCCGAGAAAAAAGTGCAGTTTAACACTTTATATTCGAGAAAAAATATTATCTTTCATATCACCTTTCAGGACGAAGCCGCGGCAACGTCGCTATATATCAGACTCGAGAAAAAGCAAACGAGACGCGCGTGATGTATTTACTGTTAGCTCAATAAATAGCGTAAGCGGAGGTGTAACGAAGGACAGGTGTATCACGTATTGAGATTCTCTCGTAAATCCACGATTTCAATCGGAAGATTATGTGAGACGAATTAAATTCCGCCGATTTAAGAAATTACGAAGATGACGATGCTCAGATATCTTAAGTTTCGTTACTAACTTTATCCTCTTTACATCCAAAAATGAACCTTTCCTCATACATATATACATATATACATATATGCATAAGTATACATATAAATATAGATGTATTATCCTGTTGTACATACTCTCTTCACCGGAACCTCTTCTACGTAATGCTCTATTGTAATTTTGTATACTTAGCATGTACACTTATACGTACTTTTAATAAAAGTCAATAATATAACGGCATGTCTTAAACGTACCTGTCTATCATACTCAAGAAATTATAATCAACTTCAAATGCATAAGTTGATCTAACAATATTTTAACACGCGAAACATTATCCGTGTTATCATTGTAATCGCGAGATTCATTACTAAGATTTTATCCTTACTGCATAAATTATCTGATTTAACTGGCTCTTCCTCTAACTTTTATTTACTCTTCAAGTTTCATAACATAGGATACCTCACGTACACTAAGTTCTCTACATTTTATTATAAAAGTCATGTTATAATTTGACATTAATAACAAACTTGAAAAGAAGAAAATTGTTATAAGATGAAGATGTATACTAGAAAGAACAGAGAATTAAAATAATAAGAGAAGTAAAAGCGTTATTGACGATAAAACATGATTAGTTGAATATTATGTTACAGATTAATCTATAACCATTGTGCATAGAAAAATACCATTTACTACATGATAGGTATACATAACAGTACACATAAGACACACACACACACACACACACACACACACACACACACACACACACACACACACTACATTCATCGATATAAGTTACTAAAACGTTTTTTATATATTAAAATATTAATGTAAAGCTGCTAGATAATATACAATATACACTAATTATTTATTCTTATAATAAATTTTTAACGTTGTACATAAGTTTTGATGTCTCAACCTATTCTCAGTTAACGTACTCGTCGACGGCGAGAGCATTTCTGCGACTCACCGTAAAATCATAAAAGGTGATTTGATTAATTTCCAATCAGCGAGTTTATTGTTTCGCAAATTCGATTATATGCGCCGAACATTTATGGAAGCAATTTCGGGCATAGCCCTTCGCAGTTCGCCCGTCGTGGCATTGAGAGTCGACGATTCGACGACTCTCGCTGGGAGAAAAAGCGGCGACGTGCGCCGGTCCGCGTTTCGTGATTCGTCGCGGGTCGCGACTAAAACATGAGCCTAATCCGCAAAACAAACCGATCTTCCAGAGTCCCATTCGAGATGCGATCCTTGGCTGCGATCTCCGCGTCCCCCATACGCGGCGAAAGGCCCGATTCGTCGAAGGGACCCGACGAAGGGCAGGACGGCAACTGCCGCAAATGACTTTATTTATACCCACGGCCCTTATTAGGACTCCTTATTAGGACACCAGCCGTGGCAATCGCGAATTCGTCGAGAAAATAATTCAACTCACGTTAAACCTGTTTCCGAGCATCATGCTTTGGCGCACGACGGAGTATAATAATCTACCTTATGGCCGACGGGACACGTTGTCACGCGATTGTCATTAGTAATCGTCATCCTAAGTTACGGCTCGAATAACTCAGGAAAATTGCAGAAGCAGTGCAAGGAGATTGCATTTCATTGAGCGATTGTGATATTATGCATTGCATTACATTTTTATCAGAAAAATTGAACAAGAAGTCGCGTGTGTCATTAAATCGACCATCAAAGAATTGATTTCCAGTTAAGCACCGGAAGAATTGACTCATCAAAAATTTATGAGTACGATACTTACCGCAAATGACTTTATTTACGCCACAGGGTCTTTATTAAAGTTCCTCCAACCGTGGCAACCGTGACAGCAATTCACTAGCGTTGACCGCTCCCTTGGTTGACCATCTTTTTGTAGATTGATATAGGATATGCCAAATTTCATATGTGCCTTATTACAAATATTGTCTGTAAAGTTAAATATGTCAAATAAAAAAAAAATGTGAGAGAAATCGTGATTTTTCAAAACAATAATATTAAAAGCATTGATATAATTCGATATAATTTATACTAAAATATTGTACTTTATCAGCATATAATTAAAATGACAATTGAACGCTTAAAATTACATACACAAATATGACTCTATCAGATGTGTAGTAATAAAAAAATAATGACCGAAAGAATTTTTCAGCGCGCAACCTGACCTGAAATGACTTAATTTTTAGCGTGAATTCTTATTATCCGTCATTCTTACAAGGTCCGCCAACCGTGAAGCCTTTGCGACATGCTGTCGCGAGATAATTGCTCCGTGTCTTTGCTTAAGAAACTTTTGATTGGTACTGGAATAGTACATTTTTGTCGACTCGTCAGCAAAACACAGCAAACAGAAAAAAAAACATGCATCATTATCTTATTTTGCTCAAGTTTTGCTCAAGAAAAATATTTATATAAATATATGTAATTCTTAAGATTAACAATTTAGAATATCACAATATTAATTACATCAAGATTTATTATCAATTTAATTTTTTAATACAAAATTTTTTAAAAATTTTGCAAAAAAATATTTATATAGAAAATGAATAATTTTAATAATATTAAATTAAATGATTAAGACCTTAAAATTTCTCCAAAAAATATATAAAAGAAAAAAAATGATTCGATAATAAAAAGATATTGGAAAAATATCATAAAAATATTAAAATTATATTAAAAATCTCTCGCATCTAAAAATTGAGCATTATACAAAGGAATCATTAAATCAGAAAATTAGAGAAACAGATGTTGAAAGCTAGCACAGATAATTATATCCCTCCAAATTTCACGCTCTTCTCAAAACCAGCGACCTGCGCATCAAAAATGAGAGATCCGGTTTATAAGAGAGGTTTATAAGAGAGAAAAAAAAAATCACAGATGTTTCTCACAGTGGTCGCGCGCGCGTTCGCATAATCACGTAAAAATTGACGAAGCGTGTGTGCAATAAGAAAATAAGAAGCATGCTTAAAGTGAATCGTTAGGGAGTATATGTCAATTCCGAGATCAATCGAAAATTGTATACCTTCTTACTTCGACTGTCATAGCGATTTTTTTACGCCATTTTATTGTGACCCGTTTAGATGACCAAGAAAAACATACGCGAATATGTACGACGCAATAGGAGCATGTGAGGGCGAAATAGTGGGGATAAGCTTTTCGCGGCGTGCGTGGACCAGCCGCTGCTACCACTCGGATCGCGTTGGTCCCCCTCTTCAAGATACCTTATCCCGTCTCTCTGTACCCCGCCGCTTCCGACGAGTCATCGACGTTTGGATAAAGGGAGTTCTTCTGTCGGTAAGGAAGGGAGATCAGGGTGACGCCTCCCTGGACGTGAGTCCTTTGCTGGTGGGGCTAAATGTCCCATCTTTCTTGCGCCCGTTCCTCTTTACGTCCTATCTTCGTTACCAACGAGAGTTTGTCCTCCATCTTTCTTCCACTTCTTTTTCCTTATTCTCCATCTCTCTATCTGGTACCGCCGGCTGCTGCCAGCGCAGAAGGGATTCAGAGTGAGGGGGAGAAAGTCGGCCGTGAAATTAAAACATGATGAGGGGGCCTAGATTGAGATGCGAGGGAGAGAGAGAGAGAGAGAGAGAGAGACGGCGAAGAAGTAAAAAAGAAGGAATGGCGAGGAAGACCGCGGCGAAGACAGAGACGGCGCTAACGCCAGGGACGCATCCGCGAGCGGATAAATAAATGTCGATTTCACGGATGGCGTTAACTTTTGCCTTTGTGCCTTCGCGCGCGTCACGCCTAGTCAAGTGATTCTTCATTCGCTGAATAATATTTATTAAAAAAAAAGAATATACTTTGCCTACTGAATGGAATCTCAGTCTTTTGTTTTAAATTTGAAGCATTACGAAATATTGAAAATCATTTCTTTAGCTTAATTTACCGTAAAAGAAATTTATCTAAACAGCTTTGAGTGTAACTCACAAAATAAAATCAAAATATTATATTTAATTCTACACACGTTTCAAGCTTTTTGATTTAACTTTCGGTTTCACGAGTAGTTGGTCACAATGACGCCACACCGGTCGCACGGTTTCCTTTTTATACATCGCATGTTACGGAATAAATTGTCCAGAATTTCTAAGGTCGGCTCGTTTTATGGGATTAGCCGAGCGCAGTGGGCTACCAGTTACAAATCATCAGATTCTAGACATCAGTTACCACCTATCATGCATCACATGACTTCACCTTCGATCTATTTACTATCATTTATTAGGATCTAGTATCCTTGACAAAATCACATCGACGCGGACGAATCCTTAAGATGGTAGTAAATCGTTCTATTATATTGTTTCGTGATAGCATATAGCACCAGACGTGATCGTGCCTATCGACTACTCATAATATTCATCTTCGCCTGTCGTCTCGTCTTATTCATCCATCAATATATCTCATTGAACTGTACCAGAATCTTAGAATCTTAGAAATTAACTAAAAGGAAATATAATTAAATAATCTATATAGTTTTATATAGTTAAATAATTTTATGATTATATTCTTAATTTTTTTTAATTAAATTATCTTTTAATCGAGAATTATTATATTAAATAAAAGTGATGTTTTCATGCTGCTACAGTTGTCCCAGAAATGCATAAAATTAAAGTTAAAGTATTTACATAAATGTTCTTGGTCTATGAAATATAACCTGACAGATAAATCGATTAATTAATTTACGTAATAATGATTGCGTATCATCCCCTTTCTCTCTTTTCTAAACATATAAGAATAAAAAAATCAGACTAAATCCACAAATTCATAAAAAATAATGGAAGACAAAAATAAGATATGTTCAAATAAATCCCGATAAATAATCATATTCGCAAGACACTCATTTACGCCTAATTTATACGCCTAATTTACGTTTTAGAAGAAGCAGAGATGTAAAGAAAAACAGAATACTGCCCATCGCCGTATGTTCGCGAGTTAAACGGTCCGAATAACTATAAACCGACAACCTTCTTCGTGTTCGAATTTTCTGTGAAATCCTTTTCACGCGATTGGTTCCGTGGGCGATCGGCATTGACGGCAGGACGGGCAGTTTCAGGAGGATGGACACGATGACGGCCGATCTCTTCCCTATATCGGAATCCTTAGAGACGGCTCGATAGCACGAGATTCTGCGGTCCATAGTTCACGGCGGGTACCCTCTATCCTCTTTTCAGGAGGAGGAAGCGGCACAATACTGGGCATCCCGATGCCATTATAGCCAGAGCCGATCCAGTCGCGGCC